CAGTGTCTATTTTTGGGTGGCGTCCGGCATGAAGTGACATCCATTCCCATCCTTAGCTGATGGATTGATTGATCTTTTGGTGTATAATTACAAAAACAAAACAAAACAAAAAAAATCCAACTGCTCATCACATTTCGAATAAGAAACCTCATTAAAACAAATGGCATTCATTTTGTGTGCAAAATGTTGCGTCTGCTTGAACATTACTCCGTGAACTGATAATTAACCTTCAATCAGCTCGAGTCAAATGATTAAGATTTGTTTATGCGCGTCCAATAGGCCGTCTGAGTGGGAAAAAAAATCTCAGATTAGGTTGGTTATAATGCCCACCCAACCTCACCCCTCCCTCCAGTAAGCGAGGTGATCCCATAAGCTGAAAACAAAGCCTCTTTACTGCCAGTGATAGGGCAAATCCGTTCCTGCTCCGAGAGATTGGGACTGGTCGGAGCATCTTTCCCCCCCCCGCCCCCCCGCTCTCATTTCCGGGCCCTCCGTCCAGCCGGTTCAATACGTTTTAGAGGGTGAAGCGATTGATCCGAGCGCCTCTCTCCCCTCCCGCAAACACATCCACATGTGTTTTTTAAGTGCATTACGTTGCCGAGTCCGTCTGTCAGCACTCCCGGGCAGCATGACGAAGTAAAGCCAGCCATTTAGTTTTTCCAAACAGGAGCAAACAGGCCACTCCAGCTCCATTACGGGCTCTTTCCGCGATGGAGAAATGGCTTTCTGTTTTCCAGTGTAGTGCTTCACCCACCATAATCCACTCTAATGATATTCTAAGTATCCTCCTGTCCTCAAGAGATACTCTATTAACAACAAGATATGGCCATTTCTCGACTGCTCCGGGGACAGAACAACAGATTTATGTAAAAGGAAGAAAATAAAGATGTTGATTGAGGACACATTTCTTTAAATGGGATTAAAAAGGAGGATTAATACACTTTGTCAGACTAAAATAGCTGTACTTCTTTGGTCGACCTAACCCCCCAAAAACCCCCAACCCCAAAAAAACAAAAAAACAAACACTGACATATGTAAAACTGAAAGTCATTGAGCACAGGCCTATGCGTTGAAAGGTCGGGTTTGTTTACATCCCCCCCCCCCTCTTGTAGCTGCAGCTTTGGGCATGATATCAATCGACCAGCAGATGTTTTTCTCCTGTAAAGTTTATACAGTAACAATGTCTGATCAGCATATCTAAAGGCAGCGAGCACACTTTCATCCAAAAGGGGGGGACGCAGAAACTGGCCCTGGCTGCAGAGTGGAGGCTCACCAGAGCAGTGTTAGTCCTCCAACTCCATCTTTTTTTTTTTAATAAAGAAGTCAGCTGGTGTAGAGTAATCTGCAGCACCGTGAGATGTGTTGGCATTTACTGCACAGCAGCGTGGACAGAGCTCAGTATGGAGGCCTTCAGGATGCCTGAATACAGTGTTTGGAACCATCAATGGGACAACCGCAGAGGCACGAACACTAAGAAACTGTGGAGGATCCGGAATGCTCCTTTAAGACAGCCGCGCTTGTGTTCCGTTTTATTCGATAGATTCGTTTTGATTTATCATTTAAAATGAGAAGAAGAAAAAAAAAATTCAGCTCCTTACCTGGCCAACCTCACCGAGTCCTCCGGAGCCGTCGATGCGGGGACGCTTGCACTCTGCCCCGGTGGAGTCCACCAGAGCGGCCGCCGTCTGTGCGTCGGGCTCCGGGTCTCCGCGCTTCATTCCCCGCACGACTGCCGGGGCTCCACCTGGGTTGGGGTGCACCCCGGCCATGGTCTCCAGCTCTCTGTCCCGGTCCATGAGAGCCCGGGACACGGGAAGCATGATGGAGGCGACGTCGGTCGACATTAACATTTAAAAATCCGTCTCTTGTTCCCTTTTTTATTAGCTAAAGTGGGGGGCTAATTATCCTGCACCTAGACGCTTAAAGCAAGCCGGTGGAGGATTTTTTTTTTTAAAGGATTTCGGTATGCCTAGTTACCGTCACTGTTTTTTTCTTAAACTGGGCCTTTGTATAATCCCTTACCAAAAGAGTTGGTCTATCTATAAATGTTTTCGCTCCCCGGTTTAGAAATGTCCTTCCACAACAATTAGCTCATGAACGCCGCTTCCCCTTCACTCAAGAACACGGAGGGGGTAAAAAAATGCCCCAGAAAATAGAAAAACAGGATTGTCAATTCGATCTCAAGCTAAATAGCCCCCCGTCTGTTGACCGTGTATGTATTTACTGCTGGGTTGCCTTAGAGGCCTGCGTTATTTCGGATCATAACAAAACCAATTGGACACCGATCGCAACAATGGCTCCTGAGCTCAGTCTACCGCTCAGTTTCCATTTGCCGTTTTTTTTTTCTTCCCCTCACTGCGAGAGCCGAGTGTTTTAAAAGCGCAACATCCAAAACCCTACCGCAACCTCAAGACGAAAACCCCCTCAACATGTCTTCCCTGTCGCCTTTTTCCCCTATTAGCCACAGGCTTGAACCACAGAGAAGAGGTTCACTGAAAGTCAATCCTCCTCAGGAGCTCTTGCTTCCCATGTTAGTCCGCAAGTATGCGTTCAAAGGAAAAAAAACGCTTCCCCCCTTAAAAAAAGAAAAAAAACATGGGAAAAGGACGGACGGATGGACGGACGGACGGACTCGGGGGCTGCGGTGTTTCCTTCTCCCTCTCTCGGTTATTATTTTCTTCCCTCTCTCCGTTTTCCCGGCGGTGTGTTCGTGTAGCGTGTGTGTTACAGAAAGGAAACTGTCCTCCCTCCCTCCCCCTCCTCCTCCCACTCTTGCTGTAGTCATTCCCCTCCTCCTATCTTCTGCTCTGCCTTTGAACGCTGAGCCAGGCAGCCATGCAGCCTGCGAAAATACACGCAGCGTGCCGCAGTGCTTCCATCCATTTCACGGAGGGGGGGGGGTGTGTGCGTGTGTTTGAAAAAGGGGAAGAGGGGATAGCCCTTAGAGACTGCCATGCTTCTTTACTGACCACATCCACCCCTCAAACCCTATTACATGACCCCCCCTTCCACCTTCCCCCCGCCCCATTCTTTTTCCTTTTTTTAAGCCTCCTTAAATCTCAACTGGCGCTCAGTTTTCCAAACGTACACCTCCAGTTTTCTATGGAGCTCGTCGCACATTACAGGGCTCCGTATTAAAAGGAGTGGGCTCCTTTTGCGAGGTTTTCGTGCCTGACTCGTTACACAACCAATGCCCAGGCCAAGGTCTCCACACAAGCCCAGCTGTGAGTCATGCAGCATGAAGCGCCTCGTGTTCCGCTGGCATTTTTATTGCTTGGATGACACCCAGTGGTCAAAGGGTACCGTGAGAAACGGGTAGTTAAAATGCCTATTTGTTAAGCACACCCGAGTGCAATTGCTTCCAATTACACGGGCAAGGCCGTTTAATCATTTCTTCAGAAGGAAGTTTGAGGATTATCCTTTTTTTCCCCAAAATATATTAAGTAATTAGGGCCGTAGTTCTAGGTATGTATGTCCCTTCATATAATAGGAACCAAGTCCTTGAAAGCGTATCTGATGCATTTAGTAACACAAACATCCTCAGTGTATATAACTAAATGATAAATAAAGTATAAAAGTTAATTGTGGGCTTAAGCTGTTCTTAAAAAAAAAATATAAATGTAAACTAGATGCCAACATTCTTTATGGATAGCAGCAGATATGCAGAACAGCCTGGAAACCCTCCCCCCAAATATTCCCATTTTCTCGTGGCCAGTCAAGATTATAAACAACAATTACTCTGCCATTTTTAGCTCAAACAAAAGTGACAGTTGTATGTGCACATTATCGCAGAACATCTGCTGCCCACAAATTACAGGGTGAGACAAAGATATCTCCATGAAGTTTGAGCAGAGTCCTCATTTCCTGCAGTCCATTGTCCACTTACACGTACATGGACTCTCACCTCGAGTCTGTGGGCCAGAAGTCTTTATTGTAAACATTCTCTTGGAGATGCCGAGTTGCATTGTCATGAGACCGTTTGCTCCTCTGAAATTAATTTGATGGGCTTATTCCAACTCGGAACAATTTCTCAGGCCTAAAGCTGTCCAACATTTCCTGTCCAGGGGAAGAGTGCTGGCCAGTCCCATCAGAGGTGGGAATGCTGAACGCTGACAAAAAGATTTAGATTTCTCTGCTAAACTGCCTATGAAATGAAGGCAGAACACGTTGGTTCTCTGCATTTTGACTATGAAAAGCATTTTAACAGTCCAATTGCACAGAAGGTAATATTTAGACACCACAAACTATGTTCCTATATGCGCATTGTGTGATGTTTTAATAGCTTCCCTGCCTGAGAATGTAAACATGGCACATTTCAATAATCTGGATCGGTGCAAATAAACTAGAACGTATAGTATCAGAATGTTGTGGCAAAGCCTGCGTATTGCCGCTTTGTGATTTAGTGAGTGAAGATTGGGGAGGGAGGGGGGACATGTATCCAGAATTCCCCCACATGGACGTGCACCCACTGTTGGACTTCATTTTATTCTAGTCAAACCTAGGAAGAACATCTGCTCAATATGGAGAGTTCAGTTGCTGCTTTCAGCCAGGTCATCGCTTTGTGTGCTCACACGTTAGAAAACAGCTGCCTACAGCTGTCCCCCATATTTCATGCAAGTTGTCGACAACACCCCACGTGTGACTAACAACACACAGATTGGAGATCTGTTGCTTAGAAGTTGAGATCCAGCCCCCTCAGGCTATTTGAATGAAATATTTTTCAAAGGGTACTGCATTTAATGTGCTTAATTACCTTAAAACAAAAAGCAGGGGTTGCATGGCAATGCAACAATGGATTACAAGGCATTGCTCAGACATTTTTCCTTCCCTCAACACCACTCAAGTTATCAAGCTGGAGTGTATATTTAGTTTTGGTTAGAGGATAACAAATGGAAAACATTACAGTTCAGATTTGACCACAATGGTCACATGTCTCCAAAGAGCCAATTCTTTTTAATGCCACCTGGCTCCAGGGTTAGGAACACAAACACCATCAATGATACTGAAGAGCTTTTATTGGTGGTTAAATGAGGGATCTGAAGCCAGGAAAAGAAAATGTGGTCAGAATAAAGACAATCTGTGATAAGTAGTTTCACATATCTGCTGAACTTACCAAATTATCTGGATAAACTTCAAGCATCCTCCATGTCACAACTAAGAAAACTGGAAATGGATCAGTCTTAATAAATTATTCAGCCCTCATTATTTAAACATTGTCCTGCTGTCATATGGAGCTGTAGCTACTGACGACTCTCAGGCTGTTTTCACCGAGTAGGAGGGTGGTAATGAGAACCATTAGTGAGGGTTTTTATAGCTCCTACCAGAGCTCCTGACAGCGTTGTGAATGATTCGATAGATAACTTGGTTTCCTCACCGTCAGTGGGCAAAGCATCCTTCAACACAAGGCCCATTGTGTGGCGAGCAGATTTCAGTTGAACACATGAAGTAGATCTGAGAGGGAGGCACAAGCAACACAGGAATTCATGTAGTGTCTCCCGAGCGTAGTTACTGTGACAACAGCTGCAGGCCAGTGGTTCGAATCTTAAGCTTACAAACTGGCCTCTGCACATGCTTCGTCATAAATTATCAGAAGAACTGGATCTAAATAAAAGTAGTTACATTGTCTTACATTTCTGCAACCCTGTTTAAGTGTGTAAAGCACTTATAAGAAGTCTTGTTAAAATTCACATTTTACAACTCCATTATAATGGGACATAACATACTTTACCTAAATTCTGCTCTTTAAACTTACTAAAGAACTGAATAATTTCAATGTGGGTAAGGCCCATTCAGATCTTAATCCACAAACTGCTCTTTCTTCTTAAATTTTGTTGCATCGTGCCTTATTGACAACTTAGGTCGAAAAAGTTTTATATGGATAAATAGGAGCAATTTAAAGAAGTGTTACAGCTCAACTTATTGAGAGATACACGTTTTTAGAATGGATTATGTTTCTATAACGCTATGAGTAAAAAATACTACAGAACTACTTTAAAACCTTTCCAAGTGTCAAACAGTTAAAGGCCTTGTCGCCATCCTGCTCTACCTCTTCATCCGTGTCCTGGAATTCACCGTCAGGCAGAAACTGGAAGGTGCTGACGGTGAAGCGGCGGGTCTGACTCTGAGGAGCAGCTGCTTTAGGGTAAGACAAAACTGCCTTTGATGGTTCTGGATCCAAGGGGTTCGGACACCTACCCACAGTAATATCAGATTCATTAACTTATTCAATAAGTGGGTGACTGCAGTCAATCTGAACGTGTGTGTACAGAAAAAGGGCATTTCATTAGCCACGTCTGCTGGATTCAGCAAACATATTCTGTTCACAAAGGAGATGTTTTACCATACCCGTTGTAAAGCAGCACCCACACAGCTTTTCCGGAGCGGGGGTAGGCAACACAGAAGTGCACCAGCAGAACCAAACTGGGATCTGGGGAGTTGAGGAGCCGTACTTCCAGATGGAGAGGTTTCCCCAGCAACATATGCAGAGGCTGGTGATACTGTGGGTAGTAGCTGCTGTAGTGAGCATCTAATAAGAGACAAGAAATTTAGACCAGAAATGCAAATACACAGTGCTTCATAATCTGGTGACTATAATGAATATTACCATTATCAGATTTGTCACCCCTGCATCACAAATCTAAATTTGATCTAAACATATTAATTGGATATTAAGAGTGATTTATGCTGAATTAAGATAATTTACCTTGGGCAATTCTAAGTTGGACTCCAAACACACCTTGAGTGTGAATCTCTGGACCCAAGGAGGGAGTTTTAACCATGTAACTCACACTCAACGCCGTTCCTGGCACGTACCTGCACTCAACCAGCAGCCTGAAAATGAAAGGGGAGGAAGAGATAAAAGCTCCAGTGACTTTGTAATACAATCAACTGCTTTTTCTGCTTTCATTCTTTTGGCTAAAGCTGTAAAATAGCTCAACTTTCACCAGAGTAGCCTTTCACTTCAGCCTTGAACGGACCAAATATCATCTTTCTAATGCAGTTGATCCTGCATTTAAAAACAAAACCCAAACTTAACAGATGCTCTGCTTCCTCATGGCTTCAGTGCTCCCTCAGTGTGCACTGGAAACAGTTCAGGAAAGGAGCATCTGTTGTGAGCAGCTTCACATCCGAGCAGTTCACATTTGTTTTGCCAGCGATATTCACGTTTCAGTGAACAGCCGTTTGTGGACGTTTCTGAATAGTCCAACCCTTTCCACCTGTGAATCTCAACCCTTTATTTCCACTTTTAGTTCATTAACCTAGAATTCGCTTTGTCAGATGGTTCAGTGGGCATAAAATGCTTTTTGTAGAACAATCAGCTGCATTAGTCCTGGTTAATATACCATATTGAAAATAAAAATATGACGGCATACACCAAAGCTGAAGCAATATCAAATCACTTATGCTGGCCAACAGAGTGATGGATCTGCACCCATCTAGTTCAACACCCTCTTAAAGCCCTATGTCACCGCTCGCCCACTCCGTTCCTCCAAGGAGCAACAACTAACACAGCTAACTCCCCTTACAGGTCAATATCCACTCTTCTGATCTGCAGTTCCACGCTGGTGGGACGACCTTACAAGCACTATCAGAGCATCAGATCACATTTCCTCCTTCAAGAAATCCTTGAAGACCCAGCTCTTCCGAGAGTATCTTTTGTCCTGAAATCTCTAAATGCACTTATTTCCCAATAGCATATAGCACTCAATGTATGGAACTTGTGTAATCTATGTTATGGTTGAATGTTAAATCCTTAATGTTAAAACCTCTTCTAGCATATTGCACTCAAGGAAAGGTTGGTGTGTAACTGGAGTTGTAGTTTAATGGTAAACCCTCTTTTTGTAAGCCGCTTTGGATAAAAGCATCTGTAAATGCATTAATACATGTAAAATATAATATCAAATTCAAAGACCCAGAATAAATTCCCATATTAGGCCCATCTCTGATTGAGTTTTGACAATGCAAGTGCTTGCTGTGAACACTGCGGATGTCTTAATAGGAGGAACATGAGCCGACCTGACAGGAGTATCCCTTGTGATGGTGCCGTAGTTGAGGCTCACTGCATGTATCATGTTGGTGATCTCCACCATATATACGACCGTCTTCCCCAACACCTGTCGGGACAGAAGAAGACATGCAAGTTTGTATGCTGAGGCCTTGAACGATATAGTCGATAGGAAATTATTGTATTCTAAATTTTTCATGTAGGTGCTGAGCAGGTTTTATTTATTTAGATTTTTTCTTTTAGAAAGTGGCGTAGGTGGATCAAGAAGCTCCCATAATTAGAGAGAAGACCAGACAATAATAAAAACAAGTATTATTGAGGGGGCATTTGTTTCATTAGTTGTGGTTGTAAATTACCAAAACAGGAAAATCTTAGTAGAAACCACACCCTGCACAATAGAAATGTAACATAAGTTAAATAGGATAACTTAAAACGAAATTGATAAAAGCATTTGATCAAGTTGATAAAAAAGCAACTGTTCCTTCCAATTAAACATATGAACCAAACACTGCCACTATTACATAAGCACTGGATTAATTAAGCTTGAACAAGACAATGGTTCTGACTAATGCAAAGCATTTACAGATTCTGCAGCACAGCTGTGTCCTTGAACGTGGATTCTTTCTGTAACAAGTTAATGCATTGCTAACCCACTGTCAATCCATGTAGCAGCTGAGGGATTCTTGTCACTGATAGAGTCCTAATATAGTCACATACGAAAGAGATCCTTTGATTTTTCCAATTAAACACACCAACAGGTTCAGATTTATAATCATAAAGAGCATCACAGTAGTTATATTCTACATTTGAATGCCGGTTTCAGTCACTGATCTTACTTGCAGAGTTGTTAAAAATGACTAATCTTCCTAAAATCTCGTGGATTACTTGGGCCTAATCAGGTGACATCTTGTTTTAGGGGATGTAGTTTTTCTAAGAAAAAGGATGTAAAGTCAATTGGGGGGGCCGACTTTTGTCAAGTCTGGGGAAAAGAAAAGGTTACCCAGTGGGGATACCACCATCACCAATACAAAAGTACCAAGATTTAGGCTACCTATCCCCAAAAGCTTAATGACCTAATACAAGTCTTAAAACTCTTCATCCGAATAAAAAAGGCCCATAGATTGTTTGATGAGGGTCAAATTATTCCTTTTAAATCAGCCCACCTCAGGGCCTAACCTATAACAGAAGGCACTACTAACAACATGACCACAAGGATGACAAATCTAAAATGAACCACATGCCCTTTACAGTATGTTAAAAATATATATATAAATTCAAAATTGGCTGTCAAACTGTCAATTTTAAGCACAACAAGCAGCTATTTTTTATTTTTCTGTTTTGTTGATCCATGAGGTAATTGGCCCAAATAAAGCCCGATATGAACAACTTCAGGCTCAGCACCTGTCAGCCATCATTGTGCAGTTACACATAATTTGGTCTATAAATTGATCCCCTCCCGTCCCTTTAGGGACATGGCCAAATTCCATCTCTGACATTGGCTCTGTTCAGCTTTACAACAAAAGTGACTGAAAGCTTGAGTTCTTCTCCAATTAACAGTGTAGACAAAGAAGACCAAGATTTTTGAAAATGCAATGGAGCCAGTCCATTTATAGAGACATGAAGTCAATATCTTCAGAACAAAAAGAGGGAACAGCTTCCATGCCGTTGTGCTGCTTTACTGCCTCTTGGCACTGGTGGTATTTAATGCATCACTGGAAATATGAAAAATTAGGACATCCAAACCTTTTAGAAAGACACACTTTTTTTGCCAAAAGCTGAATTTGAGGCTCAAACATACAACAGAGAGGGAAATGATGGACCAATTCAAACTGACCTACAATGAACCCTACACACAAAAATCTTGCTAATATCTACCAATGCAAAAATAATTTGCAGACATCAGCAGATGGGTGAATGAAGCTGCCAGAAGGTTTTAGGCCCAATTATGGACCACAGTTGTTCAAAGGTAGCGCAGATAAATAATGAACTGTGCTTTTTGCTTTTGATTAAAAAAAAAACAAAAGATTGTAAGATTGTCATGATAAAAAGGTAACAGCAACTTCTAGTAATGTGTCCTATAAGCTAAGCAATATAAACAATTCAATATTCTCACTTCTACTCTTGATCATTGATGCCCTTGAAGAGCAAGGAGAAAAACATTCACATTTTGTATACCATTTAATTTCTTAACATTTATTACATTTTAATGAGGTTAAACTCACCACTCTGCGTGTCCCACAGCCATCCATTGGGATATTGAACAAGGCGTAGTCAGAGGTCGCTTTTTCAGGTGTGCAGGTTGAATTGTTGGCAGCAACAAGTAGAGCAGGGGAAAGGGGGGGGTCTGTAAGGGAGGCGGGCACGTAGAAGATCATGTGGCGGTCAATAGTGCACTCTGGAGGGGGACACAAACACACATAAATGGATACACACAGTCATGAAAAGGTCAGATGAACAAAAGGTCAGAAAGCTCAGGAGGCAATTGATAATGAGACCCAAGGTTTCTTCGAGCCTCTTCAATGCAAGCTTCAATCACACTGTGTTGGCTGTGAATATGCTTATTTCACCATTCGGCAGCTGTAGCACTTATATTTCTTCACTCACAACCACTCAACTGTATTTAACCAAGTAGCGTGAAAATGCCAATAGGGACACAAAGTGCGGCTCACCATCCATGGGGTAGTGGCAGGTTGGGGGGTGCTTGTTGAAGCAGCAGCCCATGGAGAGGCACTCTGTCTGGGACACAGAGCCAGATCCACAGGGGAGACGGTATTCGCTATGAAGGTCGCACTCTGAGGGGCAGCATGACAAATGTCAGAGGCACAGTTAAAATAACTCGGAACTCCACAAAACAGCTTTTGGCAAATTGAACAGCTTTTCAGAGAAGAGAACACTTAAAAAAAAAAAAAAGTATATACCATTGCCAGACCTCGGAATCACAACTGGACACGAAACATGAGCCTCCTTTCTTCCACTTTCTGTCATGTAGATGACAGTAATGATGTAGGTGGTACCCTTGGGAGGAAAAATATTAATTTAGGAGTTAATAGGCACATAAAGCAAAAGGTGAGCTCCTTGCAGAATTGGAAGTCAATACTTGCTTGCACACTCATCTGACAGTGTGAATGGAGCTGCAGAGTCAGATGGATTTTGCCATCTTTGGCCACCTCTGCATGATAACCACAGTCTTTCGACGCTTCAAGGAGATTCACCTGGTTCCCCTTGATATCTGAGGGAGGAGTCACATGTTGGATAAAAACGTTCTTTGAACAATCTGGGGATACACAATTACAGCTGTACATTTTGAAGACTGAGGAGAAATTCTCCAGTAATATCAAAAGCCAAGTCCACTTCCTACCCCTTTCAGTCTATATCAGTCGCTGAGCCATCAGAGCTCTTTGCATACATATGCACCTGGAACGTATAAACCAGCACAGAGAAGCAGGCACTCACCCGTAACTGCTATTTCTGAAATGGGACCAGGGGGGAGAACTACATTCATCTGCTGGGGCATACAAAGGACTTCAGTCCTCATGACAAACTGGCTGCTCTCGTCCTTGGTTGTGCTTGGTGGTAGCGGAATAGTTGAGGGAATGGCTGGTGCTTGAGTTTCAGGCACACTTTGATATGGGCAACGCAGGTCCCAGGTCCTATTCTGCCAGATGGAAAGGTCCCAATACCTTATGTGCAAGGAAATGGTTGACGGGGGCTAACAGAGGAAGAAAATCAAACAGTATAAGCACCCAGGCATGGTTTCTTGTTAATACGTTAAGAAAAAAAAAGGCTGACAAACCAAAGTCATTGCGTTTTGCACCAGCTGAGTAGCACAAACCAAAAAAAAAAAAAAAAAAAACACCACCCTGCCTCGATAAAAGTTGCACCTTTGCCTATTATTGTTAACGGAGCACGATTTAAGGAATGTAAACATTTGTATGACCAAAGAAACTCAGAGGCATGGAACAAAACAATCCAGGGAAGTCTCACCTCAAACTGGCTGTGGCAGGCAGGCAGGGGAGAGTAGAGGATCACCCCATAGCCAGCAACAATCTGTACCATGTAGCCGCAAAGTTCAGACACACTGGACAGGAGCATCCATTTCTTTAGGTGTTCTAAGGTTAAAGAAGATTACAAGCATTAAAAGCATTGGCGTTGTTAGATCTTTCACAGGAATATAAAAACCTATACATTTAAAAATGGTTCAGCTTATTCAGAAAAAGTGTCCTTGAGAAATGCATCAAACTAATGTTTAAATAAATAAAAAATGGCCAATGGGAAAGTCTCTATAAGTTTAATTTAAGCTGAACAGTTAACACTTCAACTTGCAATTATAGTTTAATGGGGAAATAAATGATGCAGTATCCTTTAAAAAATTGGGTAGTATTCAACATTTCCTATTAAAGTTCATTTACCTCACTTTAAGTGAAATGAAAATATTTGGTTATGCCTTCTGTGGCATTTAATAAAGTGTCCCTTAATAAAAAGGAACAACAGCCTAAAGTATGTTGGAGCGCTCTGCGTGCAACTGTGTTTCAGATATGATTTTTTACACATCAGCAGAGTAAATTACTAAATCTTTGAAGTATTTCAGACTTAACCAGAAAGGTCTCCAAAAACAATTATATAAGTAAGACTATAACAGTGTTGAGTATTAAGCTGAAATATTGCAATTTTGGGTGCACATAGCATTACCTTGTGTTAATGAAAAATAAGGAATAAAAAAAATGGATGCAAAAATAAGTTCCAGCTATAACACTTTCCTTAAAAATACATCTTTTAAACCTAAAAACTTAGAATTGCTAAATGTTTTTTCTAGCTTGCAGAACTGACCTCTGACCTGGATGGACGCTGGGTCAGCAAAAGGCAGGAAGACAACCAGTCTTCCCTTCAGACACTGGAGAGATGGAGTGTGTGGAGTGAGCCAAGGTGGGGAAGTGGTGGCGGAAAGAATTTCCATCTTTGGATGGTTACTATCCACAGAGCTGGGCAATGAAGGATGGGGCCGATCGTTGTCTTGTGGTTGGAAAATGTGATGATAGCCACATGAGGGGTCACTAGATGACCGGCACGTAATTTGCGGTGCGTGTGGTTTCTGGGGCTTTCCTTTGGCAGGTGGTAGATGTTTAGGTGGTGGAAAGTAAGGGGGATGTTTGTCATAAAACTGGTTGGATGGATATGTGGAGCTGCCTCTGGTACTGGCTGTGGGGATACCAAATGAAGCAGAAGGATGTAAAGCTGGGTGGGAAACTAGCCACTGAGCATAATACGACAGCTGTGGCTTAAGCGGACTGGTTTGATGCTGTGGATGTGTGGGCTGTTTTAGTGGAGAAGGAGAAGGCGCTTTGGTTGTTGGTGCTGTTGCGAGTGCAGGTTGATAACTTGCTAGAGGTCTAGGCTTTTCTTGCATTGTTGGAGCCAATGCACCATAGGAGTGTAGAGGATGGGGTTCATATTGAGAAGAGACTGTGGATAATTTAGGAACTTGATGGTGAAAATGATCCCTCGGTATAAGATAAGGATATTGCGGGTGACCGTTAAAATAGTGGCCCGACATGTCGGGTCCTGATGGGTACTGGGACGGTTGCTGGGGCCGTTGAGGGACTTTAATGGTTGGCTGAAGTGGATGAGAGAATTGTGGGACAGGACGGTAGACCATGGGTAGGTGGTGGTACTGGAGGCCAGGGTGGGCGTAATAATGATGGTTCGGAATATGGGCAGTCTGCTGCTGATTTTGAGTTTTGGGTGGAGAAGAAAGAGGGGGCGAAGGTACGGTATGGGTGGGATCTGTAATGAAGCTTAACCAAGGGTAACTGGGCAAAGAAGTAGGGGGCTGATGCTGAGAGTGTTTATGGCTTAACTGAGGAAAGACTGGGCAGGATAGATCATATTCTTGATCATTTAGAGTAATCTTGAGTTGAAGCCCATTCTATATCAGAGAAAAGAAAAAAAAAAAAAAAAAAAATACTTGTTAAAGCCACCAACCTGCTGCAATGACCTTTCCACATAAGAGAACTTACGTCAACAGTGATACAAGGAGCGTTGTAGGAAATGACAAATATGATGTTCTTTGACTGGGACTCAGTCTGGAGTGCACATAGGTCAGATACAAACGGGCTCCAAGCTCCATCAACTGGAAACAGTAAAAACATGTCATTCTGATCTGGTCAAAAATGCTCAGTCTAGCATCTTAGGAGTAATATATGACCATCTTAATAAAATATATAATGATTTTTTTCCCCTCCATTTCTAATTGAAAGAACACTTCATCTATAAAGTAAAGGTTTAAAAGACTGGTGTTTTTGGAGTCAAAATGTAACTAAGGAATTACAGTATATATGAATCCCATATGAAGCTTGGAAATGAAGCCCCATATACAGCAAGGGGAGTATAGTTTCACAAATCCATTCCTAAAATTCCAACTTTTGATTATTGTCACTGTTAACTGTTAATTAGTTCAGGTACTTTGTATTTCAGGTTTAAAAAAAGAAAATGAAGGGCTTCATCAGTAGTGTCTTTATTCTCCAACTTTCTTTGTGCTTCTATTATAACTCAACTCTTCCAGCTGTGATGCTGAACTTTTCACCCATATTAGGCATCAGATTTTTATTTAAGAAAATCTCTCTAAAAAAACATCTTAAAAAATGCAAAAACTTGTTCCAACTTGTTGTATTTATACAAGTGAATAATGGCATTAAAAGGGTAATTTACATAATGTCTGTTTCTTAAAGAGATTTCTTGCATTCAATGAATACCTGCAACTCAAAATAAATACAAAAACCTGTACATTGAAGTGTACAAGCTTTGTTTAATATGCTGGATGTTTAACAATATAAGGTTCCTTCTTGCAGCATTTATATAAATCATAGTTGAATGGTTTGTCAAATCAAAGTCCAATGCAGTTTTACAGCCCCCTTTGCAGTG